CACAGGTGTTAGACTAACACACAGGTGTTAACCTACACACAGGTGTTAAACTAACACACAGGTGTTAAACTAACACACAGGTGTCACATTATTGAGTAGAACAACTCTGGAGACCCTCTTCAGGTAGGCTCCTGGTAAACAGGTGACTGTTGCTCCTCCATATGGCGGACGGGTGGAAATTGGTTGAGAGAGAGATGAGTAGTGTAAGTTAGACAAATATTTTACAATTTCCACATATTTTCAAGTTTAATGTCAGAATTTCCTCATTCCTAATATAAGTAACGTGAATTAATTTTTTGTTTAACTGATAAATTATAATTTTTTTGATGTCTGGGAACTTTTATCGACTTCAGTACCATGGATATTATTAATTACTACGTGTTTACAAACAAATTAAATTTGTATTATTTTTATTATCAGTTCCTATATACATTCCATAAGTCCCAAACTTGCCTGTATATGTGTTGAATATATATGTCTTAATTAGAAAATATATATTTGTTTCATGCTCTAATTTGGATTGATATTTATATTGCCATATATACATCCCTTTATAAGGGATGTATATATACGTTAAGTCCGTTTATATGGAATTATCCTCGTTAATTGTCCGTTTATATGGAATTATCCTCGTTAATTGTCCGTTTATATGGAATTATCCTCGTTAATTGTCTGTTTATATGGAATTATCCTCGTTAATTGTCCGTTTATATGGAATTATCCTCGTTAATTGTCCGTTTATATGGAATTATCCTCGTTAATTGTCCGTTTATATGGAATTATCCTCGTTAATTGTCCGTTTATATGGAATTATCCTCGTTAATTGTCCGTTTATATGGAATTATCCTCGTTAATTGTCCGTTTATATGGAATTATCCTCGTTAATGGTCCATTTATATCCTTCAGTCACTCCCCACAAAACTCTGCTTTTCTCGCGAACGTAAAATTTCTTAATCGTCTCATTAGCGAGGTTGGTAACGTCTGGGATTGATGTAGTAAGCCCTTCTCAATGGTGTTAAAATAATGGGCATTACATCCACCTTTAGATTTCCACTCACGAAACGCCACTACATAATCCAAATGGGGTCACAAGGTCACGTTAAAGGTGACCAAGGCCAGGAGCCAGATTCACGAAGCAGTTATGTAGCACTTACGAATCTGTACATCTTTTCTCAATCTTTGGCGGCTTTGTTTACAATTATTAAACAGTTAATGAGCTCCGAAGCACCAGGAGGCTGTTTATAACAATAACAACAGCTGATTGGCAAGTTTTCATGCTTGTAAACTGTTTAATAAATGTAACCAAAGCCGTCAAAGATTGAGGAAAGATGTACAGGTTCGTAAGTGCTTGCGTAACTGCTTCGTGAATCTGGCCCCAGGTTACAGCAAACACTTGGGTGGCCCCTCACGACACCCGTACATCTTAACTCAGTGGTGGCGACTTGGTCTTTATAATCAAAACTCTTTACGGACTTCGAAACTTAGCGGCTGTGATAGTTCTTATTGTTAAGGAAAAGCTCTTCGGCGGTCATAAACTGTTGGGTTACTGTAAATTATGGTGTCATGATTGAGGAATGATGTACGGCTTTCGTACGGGAATGATGTACGGCTTTCGTACGGGAATGATGTATGGCTTTCTTATAGGAATGATGTACGGCTTTCTTATGGGAATGATGTATGGCTTTCTTATAGGAATGATGTACGGCTTTCTTATGGGAATGATGTATGGCTTTCTTATAGGAATGATGTACGGCTTTCTTATGGGAATGATGTATGGCTTTCTTATAGGAATGATGTACGGCTTTCTTATGGGAATGATGTATGGCTTTCTTATGGGAATGATGTATGGCTTTCTTATAGGAATGATGTATGGCTTTCTTATAGGAATGATGTACGGCTTTCTTATGGGAATGATGTACGGCTTTCTTATGGGAATGATGTACGGCTTTCTTATGGGAATGATGTATGGCTTTCTTATGGGAATGATGTACGGCTTTCTTATAGGAATGATGTACGGCTTTCTTATAGGAATGATGTATGGCTTTCTTATAGGAATGATGTATGGCTTTCTTATAGGAATGATGTATGGCTTTCTTATAGGAATGATGTATGACTTTCGTACGGGAATGATGTATGGCTTTCGTACGGGAATGATGTACGGCTTCCGTACGTGAATGATGTATGACTTTCGTACGGGAATGATGTACGGCTTCCGTACGTGAATGATGTACGGCTTCCGTACGGGAATGATGTACGGCTTTCGTACGGGAATGATGTACGGCTTCCGTACGAGAATGATGTATGGCTTTCTTACGGGAATGATGTACGGCTTTCGTACGAGAATGATGTACGGCTTTCGTACGGGAATGATGTACGGCTTTCGTACGAGAATGATGTACGGCTTTCGTACGGGAATGATGTACGGGTCTGAGGAATGATATAAGTGGACAGGTCAATGCTGGGCGAATCCCGCCCCTGGTACCCTATTTCGAAGATTTCAGAATTTCCAAATACCACAGTTATATTTGACAATATGGCGATTGGTTAGCTGATATAACTGTATAACTGTTTTCCCGCGCTTGACTTAGACACCTGTGTTTGTCAGAGTTTAATCCCAACTGTCAATTTCTCAGTCCATTGATTGATTGATGAAGATTAAGCCACCCAA